TTTAATTCTACAAAAAAACTGACAGAAAGAATTCACCGGCATGTTAATGGCTTGCTATATGATCGTCCTGATTCCATATTTTCATTGTCCTTGTTTCCTCAAGAGATTGACCAGTAATGTTAAACGCTTTTTGGGGTGGTTCGGCGATTATTAATATAAATGATTACAATACATACGTTGTTTTGGGCTTGCACCTACATGTACTCTATACATCGAAATATGCTGTTTGAAGCTAATGATTTCGAGATTCACACTAAAAAATTTTGTTATTTTTTCACATTTTTTGTTTTGAGGAGTTTCRTTTAGTTGCAGTATCAGTTGGACAAAAATCTAGTACTGACAAAAACAGAAAAAAACTCATGGTACAGTCAACTCTCGCCTTACGGACACCCCGCTACAACGGACACCTCGATATTGCGGACAGTAAAATACTGAATCCCCGGCGAAAAATACAAAGAAATGACTGAAAGTAACTCTCGTTACTACAGACTCTCGCTACTGCGAACACTAAATTACGGTCCCGAGGGTGTCCGTAATAGCGAGAGTTGACTGTAGATGAATAAACAAGATAAACGAGGAATTATTTTTGTTTTGTTTTGTTGTTTTGTTTTGTTTTTCTTTTTGTTTTAATGCTTTACTTCTTGTTATGTTATTTCGATCCAAGATGGCGGCGATGACGTAACATGCAACCCTAAAACAGGGGCAGCGTTGATTCTGAAGGCGGAGTTTTTGTACTTGAGTAAATCTATTTATCATAATAATTATTATTTGAGGGAAAGTCAGATGTGTCCTAATGTTTGTTTTCGGAGACGCAAGATTTCAGCTCTAAGAAAATGCCCTAATGGCGTCTCTCCTTGACATGACTTTGCCATTCATTTTCAATTTCTGCAATTTTAAAAACTTTTCATCATCACGTGGGGCCRGGGATTTCTATATTTAGATGTTTAGAATAGCAGCACTTAAAATGGCAGGTAGTTTTAGGCCGAATATCATATGACTCGGAGGAAGCAAATAATTTGGCGCAGTAAAGAGACTAAATCCAGACGACATTTTAATGGACTGTAGAAAAAATTGAAAAAAAATCTTTGAACGATTCGAAATCGGAAGTGAAATCAGAAAAACTCAAATGGAGTTTTATCAGTCTTCGCGGTTACATCGAAGAAGTTGGTTTGAARTACGGAATTTTGGATCGGCGAATCGATGTGTTCAATTAAAAATCGATCGAGCGCGGAAATAGTTTGATGAGCTGGGAATTTTTTTTTTTTTTTTCATTTGACAAATTTTATACCATTTTATACCAGATGTTTTTAGGAAACTGTGYTCAACTTTCAAGAAATCGAAACCGATAAAAAAATCGAAATCGATACARAAAAATCGAAATCGATAAAACCTATGCAGACCTTCTTAAACGGGATTACTTTCCATATAAGGAAATCATCAGGAACAGAAGACGATATTTTCCTGGCTACCTACTGTTTATCTATCGAGATTGGGGMCCGACAATTAAAACAGATAATGTTACACTAGATCACCTGCAAACTCCTCGTCAACATTGGTCTCAACTCTTGCTGCTAAACCAGTAGCTAATAATCTCTTTSCCTCGCAAAAGAATCGGCAAAAACACCAAGGAATTATGATGATTTAGTAAGTATTTTCATCTTATGGTAAAATTCACTATCAATCCATAGCTAGTGACTTGAAAACATAAGTTTCAATCTGTAATCTACCATCAAATATTAATAGGAAAGAAAACAGGTTCCACAAACATTGAGAGCTATTAAATGAAGAAAACAGAAATTCATAAAACTGAGAAAATGCACAATTAGTAAAAGAAATTCGCAGAAAATTCGAAGTAATTCGAAGTCGAAGTATTTGTGATATTTGTCTTTGTTAAGCACTTTTTCWGTTTGTTCTTCCTGTGTACTTGCCACTTAGAAATGTTTATGACTTGAAAAAAAGGGAAAAATGCCAGTTTTTATGACAAAGATTTGAATAATTCAGACATAAGAAAAAAACATTAGCAAAACTTCCTCTAGGATAATTCATTTTAGTCAAATATATTTGAGAAAAACTTAATTTGTTCAGAAATAAGGATATCTAGAGGTGATTAACTTTGTAATATGTTATTTTCTCGCAATCAATTTTTTAATAATATTTTGTCAGACATTCACAGAAACAAGATCTCTGCAATCAACGTTAAAAATTTGGAAATTCAACTTTACAATCTTTAGTTCTGGATAGAATCTCGRAGTTCCTCTAAAAAGTAAGTTTGGCCTTTGCTATAATGCACGACTGTGCGATAAAACGCCTTTACGAATATCAACCAAGGCAGAGCTTCAATTTTTTCCCAAAATTATAATAGTATTGGTCGACTTTTGTAAAATTTTCTTTGTGGAACAATGTCGCAAGAAAGGCTATAATGTAAAGCACTGTTTTGTATGATTCATTGCCAAGCGGATGAGTCATAATGGCGTCCATCTTCATGGGCATGCATGGCTCCACTCAAATTCGTAATGTTTGTTTGTTGTATTAAACTTCACTGGAATTTACCATAAATATACATGAAATACACTAAAATACACTAAATACACTGAAATTCGTAATGTTTGTTTGTTGTATTCAATAAACTTCACTGGAATTTACCATAAATATACATGTTCTCTCAAAAAAGAAAAGCATGCCTTTAGTTTCATTTGGTTATTTATTCAAAATGTGCGAAGAGAAGAAGAGAACTGTCAAAACTGGGAAACGTTATTAATTAGTTCTTTTAAATTTCTTGGGAGGGAAAATTTTTCTGGATATAATACTGATAAATTTCAATATAACTTAGCACTAAAATGGCCGCAATTCCTTCAGGAAACATTTCCACGTAACTTCTAAAAAGGTAATCTTAGGAGATACATGGCGATTTCAGGACCTGTGTAGGCGTTTCTTTTCACCGATAAAATGTTTTGTTATCGAAAAAAAACTTTAATCATATTAAGATTATTCTCAAGCAAAGATAATGTTTTAGATAAGGAGTAACGTAGGCATTTTTTTCTTTTCGATTTTGTTTATTAATACAATTTGTTCCAACGTCAAATTGTATGACGTAAGACCGTCTAAACGTCTCAACTATCTTTTGCTTTCTGTCACAGTGAAGTCTAGATTCTCAATTTTGTAGTATTCGCACAGGGATTTATTGCCGCTTTATACAAAGCAAATGAATCAATTTAACATTTTCTTATTCGATTTACAGCGCTCAATTTTTAAGTTCCCAGCGCCATCTTGAAAGGCAGCCTGGCCTTTGCATCAAAGCGAGGCAGTCGTTGAGCCTTCATTAAAAATGGATGCTTTGCTGTACAAAATGGCGTCGCTAAGTGCAAACGCTTAAAGCGTGAAAAAGTCTTAACTCAATAGTGTTAAATAGAGCAACATAGTGTAGATTCTGCGTAAAGAAATACTGAAGGATCCTATATAACGTGTTACGTAGAGATTTTACGTAGGGTTTTACGTAAAGATCCTGCGTAAAGAAATACGTAAGGATCCTATATAACGTGTTACGTAAAGATTATAAGTAGTGTTTTACGTAAAGATCCTGCGTAGATCCTATACGTAGAGACTTGATATACCCATGAGATACGCTTTATTACGCTATATTTTGCATATTTTTCTTTGCACTTTCGGGTCGTTGCACCACGCTAGCACAACAGTAGATCGGAGCTCTATCAGGTTAAGTCTATAATCTAGTATTGGAATCGTGTTTAATTCAGTTACTCGTTACATACATTACTAAAGTTACAGCCCTGGGGGATCTCATCAATACAAGTTTAAATTAATATTTAAGTCAACGTCTTGACTTGTACACCCTTTCACTGACATGCCTATTGCAAAAATATCATTTGAATTGGCAAATTAGAGGAAGCAAGATATCAGTTGCCATGCGACAAAGCACGACCAGTAAAACCTATAAGTGCACTACAGTAAGGAGGAATAGATCGACGTTTTTGCGTGGATTTAACAACGAGGGATTTCTGTGTCAAGGTAACATTTTGAATTCCCATTGATAAAAGGCGGTAAAGATGTTTAAAAAGATGTAAGAATTCGATCTTTTTGCGTTTGGGATCATTGTTGAACCTTTCGTGACAAGCTTAGCACAAGTCTTCAACTTCAACTTGTGCAAGTTTTCAACCTTTACGCCATCGCGTTTGATATTTTGTCTTGTGAAGTTGTAAAACAAGATTGAAGCGGGTTTCTTACAAAATGGCAACTTTTAATCGTATATGTTTTTTCTCAGAATAAGTTAGTAATTTTGTTTTTAAAACGCTGAACTTTTGAAATGAAGTAAAACCRAAAGCACAAAAGCAAGTTTATGATATATACTTGACTCAATAATTTGTCAAATTTACTATTTTCCTTAGATTTATTAATGTAATGTGCTGTGTGGTAATCAAAACACTGAGTTTTAAATCTTGAAATGAATATAATATAATGTAGAATTAAAAAAAAGAGTTGCGACTGATAAATTGACAAAATCATTCTTGAAAGGCGACATTTTAATATTCAATAATTTGCCCAAACTGAATATTTCTATCATTTAGTTTGAATTTGTCCAATTTATTGTGTTATGACATATAAAACTTGATAAATCGTGGAAAAATTATAATTAATTGTGTTATTTTTCATCATGTCGATGATATTTTCCATTTTTAGTAACTCCTTGTGGGAGTTTCCTCGTGTAATATTCGCTTAAACGGTCGCAATCTATTTCATCTGACATTACAGCTCTTGAGTAATTCAAATCCTTTTTCGTTCTAATTTCAGGGCGTTAAGGMTGTCTTCTTTCTAATAATCACATTTGATTGTATTTCTGGTTATTTTAATTAAGAAACCACTAATATCTTGTCCTTTTCGTAACTACAGCATCTTATTTTAGTTCGTGCTGGATGTCAGAGCCCAACGTAGTCAAAATTGTTATTTYCAAACACCGTACATCGTATACCTCCCAATCTTTAGGGTATTCTGTCGCTTATTTTTTACTAATTGAATATATTTTTGACTTTTTTCCTGAAGTGCAAACATCATTTATTAAATCTCGCTAAGATTAACACCCTACAACATAAAAAAACGTGTTTTTTAAACTTTCATTTCAATTTGCAAGTCGCTTTTTTTCCATACGGTTTATTTATTAATTTACATTTGAATTCGTCATGTCTGAATCCAATTAAACAGGTACGACTTATTTTCGTCCCATCGATGTTTTTACTAAAAATATTGAATATTGTTTCTCATCTATCAATGCTAATTATGTTCGAAACAGGGAGATCTGTTTGATACTTTTGCGCCGTTCATTTAGAGTTTTGCGCTCAATTTTTTATGCTTGTTTTTTATTTATTTTTACAATTAGATTCTATCGCTACTCTTTCCATTTTTTATTAAATCGTTATTCTTTATCTTCTCATCCTATTTTAAGCCTTTTAGACGATATGTCCGATAAAGTAAGCCTTTTAAAACCTTTGGTTAACCGTCGCCATTTTGAATTCATTTTTGTAAAGAGGTTTTGGGATGCGTAGCTGGCGGGAGCTCTACATGGTTGATGGCAGTTTTTTTTTATTGAAACTTGTTCACCTAATGTGAAAACATCAAAAAGCAAATACATTTCGATGTTTTGAATCCATAGTAGACATTTTAAAATTTTCAGAGGAAGTTATTTCATTTACAATTCTAAACAAAGATGAACATTTTTTGTCCACTCGTCCTTTTGGGCGTTGTAATTTGCTCGCTATCATGTTGTGTTATATTAATGTTATATAAACATATATATTATTTATTATTTTATAAAAAATATTAGGTTAATTTCTCATGACACTTTGCAGGAAATTGTAAACTACAAAGAAATCAGCCCACTTCAAGTAGATTTGTACTAACGCTGTCGACACTTCAAATCTAATATTGCTACTCAGTTTTGTTCGAGTATTTGCGTGTATTACGAAATTGAATCGTTAGGTGAAAATTGCTCTAAACAATTCACACCGCAAATTAATAGCGCAAATCTTATCGATTTAATAGTTTTTTATGATTACTCTCGAAATCTTTAAAAATTAAAGTAAAATCTTGAGATATCCAGGTCGGTTTGATTACCTGAAGTTTTCCGCGAGATCTAATATCAACAATCTTAGAAAGCTCTTCTCTTTCTTCCGCTGGTCTAATTGGTCATTGAATTGTATTTTCCTTATGAAACGAAGTCGATGAAATGTTTTSATGKSTGTTATCATTCTTKTTTTGAAGCTAGGGAGATTTTACATCGTTGCAAAGCATTTTAAGTATTACGTTCTTAAATATATTTTCTCTTGAGCGCCTATTGTACAGTATTCTTTCCTTGTCAAGAAAACTTTTAAGAAAATCACTGATAAAGATGAAAGATGAAGATGAAATTTTGACTGTGTTTTCTAAGACTTCCCAAATATAGTTTTTTTCTAAACGATTCCATTACCATTTTGGTTAATTACCATTAGGCWGAGAACAGACGTAAACACTGCGAAACTTTTATCAAAAATCTTCGTTTGTGTGGTGAATAATGTTAGCTAGCGAGATAAATAAATCTGGTAATTTCACTTCGATAGCTTTAGAGGCGTTCAATCAGATTAAAAGTCAATAAATTAGCGTGTTTTTTTTCGGTATAACAAAGCATTTTCTGTGTAAGACAGCACGTGCGGTTGTGAAACACAAATAATCACTCAAAGGACTAAATAGTGAATAATTTTTGCTAGTTTTAGTGCATTTTSTTTTGTTTTTGATTTGTTGTAAAACAGCTCTGTTCAGTGCGGMTCCAGAGGCTGGCTACCTCAAGAAAAATCATATGAAATGGAAAGATTTCGAAAGAACGTGAAGTTTCTTCAAGATGGAAGCTGCTTTAGTTTTTCTTTTTTTCATAATAAATTCCATTCAGACTTAATTTCTTATTTTATTATTTCATATYATAATTTTAGATTTCAATGTTTTTGAACTCTATAAAGTGGGGGTTGCTACCCACCCAAATWACCTTCTCTGGATCCGCCTTTGCCAAGGGCGTAATGTCACAAATAAGCCATATTGAAAGAGCAATAGAAATCTAACTTACCTTCTTGGACCAATCACAGCACGTGTACTATCATCATCTTATGSGCGYTCTGATTGGTCCAATTTTTTCACTAACTTTCAACTGTAACAAGTGCAACTTTCCTAAAATTTAAAGTAATTGTTTAATAGGGARGTATACCCRRTTGTAMGAWTGAYTTGAGTTTCCTYAAGGGGGTCCTCATCTTTTGCTCTTTGGGATTCCTTTGTTACGGCACAGGAAACCCAAGAAGAGAGAATCACATTGAATGATGCGTGTTTTGTGTCAATTAGTGAAAAGTGSCCTGTGTGATTTGAAAGTCTTTAGCGCGGGTCTACAAGCACATATTTACGATATTGCTTCCGCTTATGAAGATTTTATTGAAAAATAAAACACGAAAAAGAGAATATTCCCTAGATAGCGCACAAATTTTACAAAAAATCAAAATTTAAGTGAAATTTCATATTTCTCTAATGATTCTGTTATTAAGTCGATTCTTCAATCCACTATCACTAATAAAAACATCATTTTCAATCTTACAATCGCTTCAAGTAGAAAAAGACGTACTTGTCAAGAAAAATAGTYTAATTGGCTCAAAATTGATAACTTTTTCTAACACTATTTCATTAGTAAAAAATTGAACTTAAAAAAAAAATCATTTTCTTATTACAAAATCTAATTAGATTTSCTGCTGTTTATCATTTCCAACATCGTATGTTTTCTTTGTGTTAATTAAATTTCTATATTTCTTTTGCTTGAAGTCGTCTCCTCTGGTATAGGGCCCTGTTGTGTGATATACTCTWTATTAACATGAGAATTTATATTGGATTTTCAAAAGATTATATTATGGTATTATAGTAAAGAAACAACAAGACGTCGGGTCACAAAACTGAAAAAAAAAAAAAAAAACGCTTGAGTTTTATAGCGTATTGTTTACTGAAGGATATCAACAATATCTTAATTTCGACAACATCGTCTCAAACACGAAGGTAACGTATAAATATGGCATAAAGTTGATTATTTGGTACTGCTTTGTGTTGATAACGTSAAACAATCGTCTTACTTGTGACGATTTYGAGTTTTCCTAGCCAAAGTTGTCGAATTTTTTCAACTATTTTAGCTTTCTTAGTGGATTATTGAGTAAATATTTTATTTGCGACACGAAAAATCTAAAAGCTGAAGCATTTAACTTTTCTTTGCTTTGAATAATAGTTTAATAATAATAATAATAATAATAGTTTAGAATAACTCAAGCGAAATACTAGTTATTCCAAGTAACTTTAGATCTTTTATCGTTAATGTAATAATGTACTAAATTATCGTACATGAAGCTTGAAAAAATCATCTATTCTTTTATCCACCAATCTTCCATCCATTCACTTATCCATTTATTCATTTCTTTAATTTTTATTCATTTATTGATTCATCAAGYCATCCATCCAAACTTTCATATATTCATTTGTCTATCCAGTTTTTCATCCATTCGTTTATCTTCCCACCCATCCATCAATTCATTTAGTATTGTTTTATGTGAGCTGTAATAAGTGTGCAGTGCCTTAAGGGGTATCGGACCATCCATTAGATCAAGAGTCTCGTCAATAGGTTTTCACACTTCAACATCAGCGACTWACATTATAGGCAGTATATGTGGGCTAAGTGATTAATGACTTCTAGATTTGGGCCCCTATCCGCACGGAAACCGTTTTTAAACAGTTAGTTAAAGTACAAGCACTTACTCGATTCCCATCATCAAAGCAACCGTCCCTCAGCATCGAAGCGATAAGCCTGTTAAGCGTGTGATGATAGAAACCTTCTTTCACACCTACMGAAAATTATTCACAGATATCTATCACTGCACGCTCATAGATCGCCTCGCTTCGATACAAAGGCGCGGCTACTTTTCGAGATGGCGCAGGGGACTAAGAAAAGGGGCTTTAATCTAACACTAAGTGAACATAATTTTATATATGTATTATCTTATTATTTATTATCTTATTATCTTAATTAAGAGTGCAATTTAGCCTTTAATGGCTACTATTCTCTTTTTTTAATAAACTTATAATAATATATTATATAATGTACAGTGTTTTCAAGCATCGTTGAAATAATTGGAAAATCTATGTGCTGTGTCCCTATACTTGAGGCTTTAAGTCCATATTATTGAGCAAATCAACTCAAAAATGCGGTTGGTATTTTTTGCTAAATCCTTGAGAAAAATTAGACGATAGAAAAACGCGTTTCAGGGGCGATTAAGATGAATATATAGAAACTCGTCCTATATATCCGATATGACAATGGCTGGAATATTTAAAGGAGGTTCATATTATCATTTTTTATATACTTGATGTTAACAAATTGTGGAAATCAATGGCTTCACTAAGTCAAAATGTATAAAATAATGCAAATAATGAGCAAGTCAAAATTTGTATATCTTTAACATATGTACGTGTCGTATTTTATGTCAAGGTACTAACAATAGACTTTAGGAACTATTTATGGAAAACGAAACATTGCGAAGTTTTATAATTTGTACTATTTATTTAACRAAGTATCAAAGTATTTTTTATTATTGAAGTATATATTTTTTTATTTGTTTGCATTGTGTTATAATACACGAAGTAATTGAGTTACAATAATACCCAGCTCAAGAGACCAGTTCGAATTCGCTAGATGAAAAACCATTCAAGTGCTTAATGGAAGCCATTTGAATGCAGGAAACCATTAAAATGCAGTCCTTTTATCGGAAAGGTTTAATTGGTCGCACTCTTTTTTGTCTCACGGAATTAAAACTTGCGAGTGAAATCTGATTTTAGTTCAAAAGGTCAACTTATTACAGACTATTGAGGTATCGATCTTAAGCGAGAAAAATTTCAAATTGCTAATAGGYACTAGTTTGATTTTGTGCGAATTTCACGGATACAATGCGTTCAACYTATTGTTGGCACTTTGGCCCAGTAATGGACGCTGAATTATCTCATGCCATGTATAGTACCAGCGGTCGTACTAGATARCAAGGAAGTCGATCTGGGCAGGTCGGATTTGATGATTTAGTGGTCGTTATAGCGAGGTTTTTTGTATTTTTAAGAACTGTAATATYTATATACTAAAATTAAGGCTATAAATTATTAACAATATGTACAAAAAGGCACATCGAGCGTCTTCAACTACGAAGTCATCATCTAAATAAACTTTTATGTAATTCCCTTAGGTAAAAGCTTGGCTATAAAGCATTTAATTTGTTTATTATTAATTATGATGTTTATGTTTTGTATAAGTATTGACACACTTGACTTAAGATTGTCACATGTTAAAATTCTGGTCGTATTAGCAAGATGGTCGCAYTAGCGAGGGCAACCATCACACGACCAATAAATACTATCATTTAAAAACTTTYGATATGTGTGCCAAGTATTCAGAGTACTTACGTTCGAGTGTTTAAATAAACATTTTGACGCTATTTATAGCGGTCGGTCAATGTCAATGATTGTCATAGAAAATATTAACATTCAAGAGCATTTCCAGTTAGTCAAAATCCCATGCAAAGATGTATAAATATGCTTTAATTCAAGTGGGCATAATTTTTATAAAAAATTATATCTTTGGCGTTTATTGGATATGTAAGTTAATCCTCAATGTACGATGCATTCTTACAGATCAAAAGCGAAACAGACTTGTCGGACTCGTGCTGATAGTTTCATTATTAGCTTGGTTTCCAGTGATGTTTTCATTGTTTTGAATCGTTGTTGTTGTCCACGGMATGCCTGAAASTTGTTTGTTGATTGACTTTTTCCTCAGAATTGAATAATCGATCGACAAAAAGAAAGAATTGAACTTCTGAAGCAAGAGAATAAGCGGGAATTCAAACTAAAACGGTAGGTATTGCAAAATATTGTTTTTGAGTGTTATTWTTTATGTGAATGTAGCTCTCTACCTATTAATGCGATTTGACAATGTTGTTATATTGTAATTTTCGCTAATAAGAATTCGTACGAGTACTTACAAAGCGATGTTTAGTGGATGAAATTATCCGAAACACAACGCAGTGCTYTTCGAATTATTCGGTTGCGCATTGAAATTTCGACTTTTAACTGCAAACATGTGWTATCTTTAAAACCGCTTTCCGTATATATTTGATATCACGTTTTTTTGAAAACATTAAAATGTACTTTGTAATCATTTAATATATTATATTAGCGGTTCTTAATTTCATGATTTTTTTGTCTATTTAATGATCGCAGCCTGAAACAATTTGTTTGGATTTATTTCGACATAACAGTTAAAGTGGTCAGTTACAAAAACTCATGAAATACACTTTAGCATCTAAACTATAGATTAAAATTGGTCGCTATTTTGTCCGTCTTTTCTGTGTATTGCACAGTATTAGCCTTTGGTTATAAAATTTTTGAAATAGCAAATAACAATAGAAAATACAAAACAACAACAACAACAAAGAACCGAATCGAAAATTAGACGCAATAAATCCGTGAAACTGTTATTACCAATTACTGCTAAATGGTGTCGATACCAAAATGAACCTTACAATCCGTTATGAAATATAATCTGCACAATTTGTTATCTCCTTTTCCCACTGTAAGGTTGGGCACAAGTTCCTTTTTATCCTTATGACGAGTACTATTTCACGCTTTAAGTATTTCTACATTTTATGATATAATTTTGAATCACATTCTCAAACCCGTGCAGCTTATAATACCACTAGGTATCCAATAATATCTCATTGAAGACCGAAAACAATCGATCGCTAGAATTCAAGATGGCGGCCATAYTTTTTAGTAACGAGAAAATGACTTTAACGTCTCGAGGATGTCTGATAATGAGAGCTGGCGCGGATAATAACAATTTTAGCATGTCACGAGATGATTTAGAACTACAAGTAAAATCCTCTTTAAAAGTGTGCCAGGAGGCTGGCAGGATTATAATGAGAAAGTGAATATTTTAAGACTATGTTTACGTGGTCTTGAAGGTTATTCTTTATGTTGTTTGTGTCTTCGTCGTCCACCTCTTCTTCATTTACTTCTTCCTGATCTTGCAATTTCTCTTGCTCTTCTTATTATTCTTGCTCTTGTTCTTGTTCTTGTTCTCCTTGTTCTTCTTGTTCTTCTTCTCCTTGTTCTTGCTCTTGCTCTTGTTCTTCTTGTTCTTCTTGTTCTTGTTTTTCTTTTCCTTGTTGTTGTTCTCCTCCCTTTATTCCTTTTTTCGCTTCACATTCTTCTTCATTTTCAATTTTTCTTTTTCTTTTCTTTTCGAGCTTCTAGCTTCTTCTTTTTCTTCTAAAAAATTAAAGTCTTCCTGTTATTGATAATTACTCTGTACTTCAATTATGCCTAAGAGTACTATTAATATCACTATACGATATCATTACAAGTCAACTAGTACCAATTGTACTAAAAAAAAACTCGAATCGAACGTTTCGAACGTTTGATCAAGCGTATTTTTACATTGGAACTTTKCTCAGCTTTATTGCAAGGTATAGTATATTTAGGAACAAAAACCTATATACAGGAACATGAATATATAAATAGAAACTTAATTGTTGAATAMGATACTGAGGGGAAGCCAATATGTGAAAAACTAGACAAAGGAATCAACTTTTTTGTCTGTCTGTCTGTTTGTAAGACTTTCTCTTTTTTGTCTTTCATTCATATGYTAKYTKYWTKYMTYWYTYWTTWWTTWWWWTTMWTTCMKTYCSTTYYYWTT